GATGACAATACAGGAACCCGGCTTCACCAGAACCACAGCGGCAACGCTGCCTGTCGCAGCCGCTGTCGAGTACTCAGCAAGAGGTGACTTGCGGCAACCGCAGTAGTTGCTGCAACTGTCCCAGCAAGGCTTAGTCTGATCGTACCCCGCAAAAAGTGGTGTGGCAGAAGTTATGAAACGGCCAGGAATACAGTATCTGCGGCGGTGGCCCAACGAGTGAAATTCGACGGAACGCAGCAGTCACCGTTAACTCAATAATGCGTAGCTCCAAGGTTGCCACAGTGACCTGCTGAAGCACAGCAGCAATAGCCTTGATTGTCAATGGCTGTGCACAACTAGTCGCCAACCCTCAACAGCTGCAGTTCGGACAGTTCGCCGTTGTAAGTAGTCAACTTTCCGAAGCACCGCAGCTGCAGTCAGCCTCGCATCAGCAACTTGACAACAGGAGGTAGCTTCCCAACCTCCAGTCATAACAGCCTTCCGGCGCCACAGCCTTAACAAATTTCCCGATCCGACCTCCACCCTGTTCCCCAACTGTACTTGAGCACGTCCTCTGTGTAAGGCTGCCGACAGAAGCCGGCGTATCGAGAAGTTGTGACCGATATATTCCGCCAAAGTACCTCACCTTCCGATTCGATATGGCCAGGTACATCCAAGTTATCAGACGACAGTACTGTTGCTAAGTAAGCCGGCACGTTCCTAACTCATCCTCTTAACTAACACCTACTCCGCCATACTACTCTCCACCTAACCTCCTATTCAAGATTGCCTTACATGACTCCGCCACCTCCACCCCTCTACCTCTCGGTTGGGGGTGCAAGCCGGAGTGAATCTGCCGCAAAAGCACGGGAGTATTCGTTCAACTCCAAAGTTCGGCCTTCCTCGCGCGACCCTCGGTGTTCGTAGCGGTCATACCACTTCCCAATCCGCGAATTTGAGTTCACTAAACGTTGCGCAGTACTTGAAAGCCCTCCAAATGGATCTTCACTCCCCCGTTCTCACCAAGGGACAGGCGATTCTACGCAACACCTGACCTCTCCATGTCGTTGTCTGTCATCTCCCCCCGCACCATCTCTTTCTTCCAACTCGACTCCCACTACTCTACTCTCAAAACTAGCATCACCACCGGATTCGCCAGCCTTCAAACCCCCAGTCTAGGATCTTAGTTTAGTAAAAACGATAGGGAAGCAGTCGAGTGACCCAAATCTTCACCCCTACATTTGAATGTACTTTGGCGTGTGACACGCCTAGGTCCATTCACCCACTTCTCCCCCTTGTCGAGCCTCCTGCGCACCTCGACCATTACTAGCTTGACCTCACTTTCGGCTCACTCTTCCCCGTATGCATCTACTACTTCATCTCCCCTTCGGTTTGATCCAAATCGAATGGGATGTGTGCTTCTTCGCGCGGCCGAGCCCGACTCCCCGACGCTCCCCGCGCACCCCCTTTTCTACTAACCTCCTCTTCTGCTGACTATCCTCTAGAACTGGCTTCGTAAACTGGTTCGCCCGTGGCCAAACCCCCGGGATCGCCTCTTTCCCTGTCCAAATCCGTACACCAACGAATGAGTTATGCCCAGTCTTTTCTCTTCCTTCTCCCTTCCGCCATAGCTCCGCGAGACCACGTTTCCTTACCCCGACTAACCTACCAACCTACTACTAAATCTGACTATAGATCTGAGCTCGCCAGCCCAGAAAACCCCTGCCTCCGTCCTTAGTCCACTCGATTTCGACAAGAATCGGGCGCTTTAAGTGTTTCTTACCACCTCTCTTCCCACCATCTCTTTCGTTGACTGTATCTGGCGCGGATCCGCGTCCAGATTCATTTAGCTCTCCCCTGCCTTGTTCTCGCCTCCTCCCCGCCCCGCTACAGCCTCATCCCGCTACCCCATCGCCTTGCGACCAGGTTGGGTCGGATTGAAGTTGCCGTGGCGACGTCCGTCGCATGCAGTGACAGAAAAGGATATCGGGTCGCTCGCCGACTTTATACTGTTTATCCTTGCTAATCTTCTGTATCGTTCCAATTTTAACGGATGTCCCGACGGACTGGGACACAGACCTGTATTTCCACAGTTCAGTGGTGTATCCACTGAACTAGGCCGCTGGGCCTCACCGCAGGTCTCAAAAGGAAAGAATAAAAAATCAAAGAAAAGATAAAAAATAGAAATAAAAATAAAGATTAAAACTTAGAGATAGAAAATAGTAAAGAAGAAAAACGGGTGGGGGAGGGGCTCGCAGGTACTCACTCGCTCCCGGGCCCGCGGCTGACTCCCCTCAGCAAAACCAAGGGGGATAGTCTTCTCGCAGGACACTTAACCCCTCCATTCGCTCCAAAGTTCACTCCTTCACTGATCCATTGCTCCCTGCTGGCCTCGATCCCAAGATTCACCTGGTGAGAGTGCAATGACATAACCTATAATGCTAAGCCCAAACCTAGTTACAACATGTGCAGTCCTCCATATGAATAGTTTGGGCAGCCAGCCCGGGCCTGCGAACGGTACCTCAGGCCGTTTTTCCCACTTACGGCCTGCGCCTTGGCTCCCTAAGGCCATACCTGGCTATTTTGAAGGCATGGCTCCGCTGACTACCACACGCGCCGGCTCAACCATGGCAGGCTACGGGGCGGGCTCCTCATGGCCTGCCACGACGCCTTTTTACCGCCTCTCCGCCGAGAAACCCCGCTTGTTGCTTTACTTAGTGCTGCCCTTGCTTGGCACCCGCGGCGACTTGTGCTATCATTGGTGCAGAGTCATCCTAGTGCCCACGTAACTTTACGTGGTGCGACCTTGATACGCCGGTCCCCCGCAATTCGCACTACATTCTTTTCTAGTCACAATCCTACTAGGTCAACGCGACGCCGCTTGTAACTTCGCCCGTACTTGCGAGGCTGCGGCCGCCTCAGAAACTCTACACTTGTTCTACCGGCGTCGCATGGTCCCCCTCGACCCAGGCTCGGTCAGGCTAGCACGTGCCCACAAAGTGCACGCTCACACACTCCCTAATCAACACAAACGGGACGCGCCCCTGGATATCATCAGGAGCGTTATTCCTGTAAGCTACAGATATGCGCCCAAATACCTTTGTAAGGGTATTCGGGCCGACAGTTTTCTGGACCTTATTAACCGACATCCCCGTCGCGTCGGACAATCAACACTATAATCACAAACACATCTTGCTGACAAGGAAGCGACCAATCCGGTTCACCGGTTCGACTCCGTTCGAGGTTGTCTTATCAATCTGCCCCTGTCACAACTTTCCACTGCCAGGGTTTCAACCTGGGTCTCCCACGTCCTTGCCTCGGAGCTAGGGGATACTTTGTTCCGTACTACAGCGTACTACCCGCTCCCAGGTAGTAGGTTGATAGTCTCCTCCCTTCGTCGTAGACATCTGCAGACTCGCCGTTGGGTGTCCTGTTTAGTCATCGTCCCACGAACGGGGTCATAACTTAGGACGCTGGCCCTAACCGAGACCTCTCAAAATACAGGGCGCCTTTAGCCGCCCAAATGGTAATGCTTACCATCTCAAATCCTAACGAACGCCCAGCCTGGAGTCTAACATAGGCGGTTTCAGGTTTCCATCTTGGCCCACCATGGACCGGTCGATCACGTCGAATCCACGGCCCACCTCGTTGTTATGTAGCGATGGTGCCCTCGTTGGTTACGCAACGATAAGCAATTCTTCCTATCTTGGCACCCCGAAGGCCCGAAGGGTCCTGACTCTTGACCTAATCAACCCCAATGACCTTCCCTCTAGCTAAGCCTCTCCGGGTGACCGACCCTTCAAGACTTAACCTTCGGTAAGCCATGGTCCCCCTGCCAGGTTGCGCCGGTCAGCGACCCTCACTGGGAGTTAGGTTCTACAGTTCCAGCGATGCTAAGTATAGCCCCTTAGCTTGGCCTCACAATACGTCCCTTAGACTAACCCATTATGGTCTGGCACTTCCTTCAAACCTTTCGAAAAAACCCAAAGGGTCACATACCACTGCCCACGGGACTACGTGGAGGGATAGTGCCTTTCTCACCCATTTCACCAAAATCCTTAGTAAGTCCACATGGTCATGCCTTCCTTACTTTGATCGAAAGCAGGTAAGGTCACACATCTTTTAGGGATACTCACAATACTTTCCTAAGTTCCATCATAATTGCCAGAAGTTTTCATCCATGATTCTCACAAAATATCTGGTCTTTCCTTGTCAGACTTTACATACAAACAGTTATGACCACTTATAGCAACTCTTTTTTAGTGCTCTCACAAATTTCATCCTTTTAGGGAAGCATAATCGGTCATAGGACTTCCCCCTCTCTTTTCTGAGCCATACACAAAAAACATAACTTTGGTTGTGATCTCTCCGTTCATCATCACTTCAACTGTGCCAAATACATCATGTCATCTTCCTCTCAAAAAAATGAGAGCACCTTCTCCCATCATACTTTAGGCTCCTCTTGCCACTGAGACAGGGATGCGTAAGTACAGTGGAAGAAAGCGCAGATCAGCTCATTCCACAATATCCATTTCATCACACCATCATCCATATGGGAATGTCCACAAACTGAGAGTGAGAGTGATACAACACACACACAACACGAGACAAGGTTTGAGACTCGCATATACAGGATATGGGGCCCTGCAATGCGCAAAAGCTCTTATCCTTATGACAAAAATCAAAGTGTTATACAAAGAGTTCAGGTATCCCACAAAGTAACCAAGTGCCGAAGTATTGGAACTCGACAGCCGCTCTCCCCTCATGAGTGTTGTTTTACAAGGATACTAACACTCTACACCACACTAGAAGAAGAAGAGAAAAATAGTCAAAGTCCTACTCAGTGTTATCTTACACACAAAAAGGTTTTCAGGTCTATAATGCGAAGGTAACATCTCACTACTGGCTCAACTCGCTGATGTACATGGGTCTGATCCAATCCTCCATGTATCCCTCTATATACAAGTAACCATCAGTCAGAGCATCAGAGATGCCTCGCATATATTAGACTTAAATCTTTTCAGACCTTATTAGCAAAACCTACTCCTGATCACTCATGCTCTACTGCAGCTGCCTATACAACTGCGCCCGAATCCCACCACGAGTCTTTAAGATCAGGTTCCCATTTCTATCCTTTCCCACCCCTGGGGAATCCCAAGTAAACAAACTCTTTGCCTCATCCTCGAGGCTCTTGGGACACGCCTCCTGTAGGTGTCTGCCTTTCTTGCAGTAAAAGCATCTTCCAACCTTCTTCTGGTCCATCTTATCTCCTTCCTGTGAAGGCACACATGATGGCGCTGTTGTTACCTTACTCGTGACCTCTCGCTGACATTGTCGCGGAATCTCTGGGGAAGTGGGACATGCTGCTCTGTCATCTGTCTGCGCCACTTGCTCATCAACGCGCTCCTCTGGCCCAAAACCAGTGGCCCAGGACCCCAGTGCATCCCGCAGATCTGCAACAAGAGGCATCTCCTGAGGCATAACTGACTCTTGATAGTCCTTCGGATCCCTCCGTGACTCAGCCTCCACCTCGGTCTGACCCACGCTCTCTTGACCCTCTTGCTGTCCCGTAGCCTCTCCCTGAGTTGTAGGCAGACCTACCTCCATCCTCATTGTCTCAGCAGGCGGTTCCTCCCCTGGTATTGCTGGCTCCTGGCCAAGTGTCAGGCCAGCCGGCAACCTCCACTCAAACTCTGCGTCCTCTGCGCTCTTCCTAGCTAGCATCCCTTGTGGCTCCAACACATCCTTATCTATTAGGGGAACTTCCTCGTCATCTTCCTGCCGGTCCGCTTTCTCTTCCTCCTTCTGACTCTGAAAGGCTTCCTCTGTAGGTTGTTCCCTAATTTCAAACTTTTGGACCTCTGTCCAATCCACCCCTGCCGTCTGAGCCTGCTGTGCACACTTGGCCTCGAGGTCTTGAATTTTCTTTTCCCATTCGGCCTCCTTTGCCTGATAGGAGATTTGTTGGGCATATAAATAGGCCCTCAGAGCGTTAGTGATCTTGTTAAGGGTCTGGTTGATTTGCCTGACGGCCTCATTCTCTGCCCAGACCTTCTTTATATCTGCCTTCACTGCCTCCAACTCTTTACCTTGCCTTTCCAGTTCCTTCTTCAAGTCCTCCACCTCTCTCTCCCAATCCACCCTCTGGCCATATGCCTTTTGTACCACCCTGGTCAACCTGTCTCCAACCTTCTGATCTGAAGCCCTTGCTGCAGCGAAGTCTTCCTTCATCACACCCCTTAAGTTGAGTAGGTCTGTTGAGACCAACTTAACCCCCATCTCCTAATGATGTCCTCCAGATCTTCCTGCAGCGTCCATCAGCTTATCAAAACCGATCCAGACTTCGAAAAACAGAGGAGGGTCCTCTTCCACAGTGCAAGTACCTTTACCATTCCTATCCTCCACCTCTTCATGCCCTTTCCCTTGCTGCATCCTCTCATGCAGCTCGACAAGGTTCTTCATTCCGAGCTGAGTCCTGATCTCCTACTCCCATGTTGCCCTTTCTTTTCTGTCTAGTTCCTTCTCCTCAGCAGACTGATCCTCCTTGTGTTTCTGCATCTGCGGCTCCTGAGGCAAGTCTGGTTCCCTGTTCAGCATAGGAGAATCCACCTCCATCTGCGCATGCTGTGGACGTACCTTTGAACCACCTGACCCTCCTGCTGTCTTGTGCCTATGGGATCTGTGTTCCTTTCTCTTGTCCTCCCTCTGAGTCCCTGATGATGTGCCATGCTCAATGGCCCCCCTTTCCTCTGTTTCTGGTTCCCTCCTTCTCTTTTCCTGACCCCTTCTCTCATCTGCCTGTCGAGCCGGAGTATAGTAGTTCCACATTAGCTTTTTGCAATGCCCCAAATTCCTGGCAGATGCCACGATAGATCGAACGAAGAGTCTGGTATAGTGCCTCACAAATAGAAGAAAACTCCCCACTCTCTGCTCCTCTGGGATATCGAGCTCATCTGCATATCGATCATAGGCCCATAGGAACTCCCCCACGTTAGTGGAGTCGAATCGAATGGGTTGTCCATCCCCCTAGTGGCGACGGATGCAAACCTTTCATCTTCCGTTCAAAGTCTTGCCAGCTCAACGATTCCCTGACCAGGTTAGCAATGGGGTCTGCCCACTCGCCTGTGCCTCGCACCTCTCTGAACAACCTGGTGCCGTCCCATCCAAACTCTCGTGCATGCCTTTTGAACTCCATCAGGAACAACTTAATGTACCCTCCCTGGAAGACTGGAGGTCTGTCCTCTCTCCTAGTCCTCATCTGCATCCTCTGTCTGGTTGCCCCCAAAGGGGTTTCCACTGGCTCTGCCCCTCCCCTCCCTCTTGGCATGGCTGCCCCAAGCGGTGTCGAGCCTGCACAACAAGGACGAGACGAACAAAAGCACACAGAGGGTAAGCGATGTCAGACAAAACACAACAGGAGACAGACATAGCCCTCTTATAACTATCCCAGTTACTTACCTATCCACACATATGCATATATATCCATACACACACGCGAGTCTAACAACTACCTATCACGCTATCCTACTGAGGGCAGTACCGACGCATTCAAAGGATGACTCTAACTGGTGAGATCCCTGCTCACCTCATCTCGAGCCACGAACTTCTTCAGCCTTGAGCCCGACACCCATTCCTTCCATGTCGTCCCATTTAACTCCTCAATTTGGTCCACTCCGTGCTCTCCACACCTGGTGACCCTGTATGGTCCTAACCACCTTTTGTCTAACTTCTGCGACCACTGCTTCTCCAGGGATGAATCATATAGTAGCACAGTGTCTCCTACTTTGAGAGGCTCCTTTCTTACCCTCGCCATCTTGTCCCACCTGAACTTGTCCTTGATATGGCTATCAGTTGTCCTACTCGCCGCCTCCTCAATCTTATCCTCTATGGCGCAAATCTGACGTGCTCTAAAATCCAGTAGCTCTTCAAACGTTAGATCAGTCTCGAGGTCTTGCCGCCTCCATGGCTTTAGGAAGCTCTCGATAGGAAACGTGGCGTGTCTGCCATACCATAATATAGCCGGTACGTAGCTAGTATTTCTCCTAACAGTGATGTTGTCCACGAAGAAAGCGACCCTTAGGAAGTTTGGCCACTGATTGGGCTTGCCATCAGTCCACTTGGCAAGAAGATTCGTGATGGTGTTATGTCCTCTCTCCACAAGTGCATTAGCTTGAGGGTGTGTCGCAGTGGTGTATTTGGCGATTACCCATTACTTCCTCAGAAGAGCCTTTACTTCCGCACATGTGAATTCAGACCCCCTATCCATCACAAACCTGGAAACAAAGGGATAACGAAGGTAGTACTTTTCAATGCATCGAGCCAGCGTCTCGCCAGTCTTCGTGCGAATGACCCTGCCATCCACAAACCCAGAGAGGTTGTACCTCGCATCAAAGATAAAGTTGTAGCTCCCTATCCTCAACGGCATTGCCAACATATCTAAGTGCACGAGAGCTCCAACTTCACGAACATACCTTGGGTGCAACGGCCCTCTAGGCCTAAGAGAGGATCGCTCCTGGCATGGTACATAGGACATACAATAATCATTGATCATCTGCCCCATGCCATCCCAATAATACAACTTGTGTATCTTGAGGTATGTCGTATTGGTGCTCCTGTGGCCACCCGTCGTACCATCATGTAGTGCCGCCATAACGTCAATCTGGCGAGCGACACCGCAGACTACTCATCTGGGAGCCTTCCCTTTGCTTCTCATGAATAGATGGTCATCCCTTACTAGAAAACTTGACCTCATCTTTAGAACTCTCGCACAAGCGTCCCTTTCCCTCATTTCACATGACAGAAGCATTCCAAGTACAAGGTATACTCCCTCATACTCCTCTGCTCGGAATGCTTCCTTAATCTCTCCTTCTTCAAAGTCATCATCTTCCCTTTCGTGGATCACATTGTCACCTCCTTCCTGCTCTACCACCTCTTCCTGATCTAGCACCGTATTTTTGACCGCCTCTTCCTTAAGCGGCGTGTTAGCCAATAGGTACATCCCACCTATCACCTTCTCGTGCTTGCCCTCTTGTAGCGCCCCACTCTCAATCATGAGCAGGTCTTCCTGTAGCTCGTACTTACCTGCCAGTGCCAGATCCATCATCCAATCCACGCCTGACATTCCCCGACAGTCTTCCTCAATATAGGGCTTAAGGACTAAGTCTGGCCGTCGTGCATGTCCTAGAGGCGCAAGCCACACATGTCGCCCAGGAGTGACATAGTTACCCAAGGCCAACGCCCAGGAGTTCATGTGAAGGCTCACATCCTCCTCGCTGTCCAAGAACCCGTCGACTGGCGGAGTATCCTCGATCACTCCTTGATTGTTATTGTCCCAGTCGACTCGGCTCAGCCCGTCTGCCCTATTCTTGCTCCCTGGAATTCGCTCCAGCTCGAAATCGAACATCCAGATGTACGAGCGAAATTCTTGAGGGAACCAGCCAATGCCGTAGCGTCCACCCTTAGTACGAACCTCCTGCTGAAGAGGTAGTTCCTGAAAATTCTCAAGTAGTGAAGAATTGCCAAGGTTTCACGCTTGAAGTGAGAGTAGTTCCTCTCCGATGTGTTGAGCGTCCGACTCTCAAATCTCAATGGCCGTTCTTCTCCGTTGGGGTCTCGCTGGATTAACACTCCTAAAGCAGTCGGCCCTGCATCTGTCTCTACAATGAAAGGTTTGGTCATTACCGCCGCATGATCCGGTACTCCTAGTACTAGACCTCCTTCCTCGAACTCTTTCTTCAGACCTTCTATCACCGATTCTTGTTTGTCTCCCCATTCTCAATCTTGTCCCTGACGTACAAGTTTTCGTAACTGCTCCGTCTTTGCCGCAAACCCTTTTATGAAGATCCTCCGGAACCCACACGTTCCCAGAAAGCTCCTTACCTCCGTGATAGTCTGGAACAGGGTAGGCCACTCGAGAATCTTGTTGATCTTCTTAGTATCTGGCCGACGACCTCTCTCATCGCACACAAATCCTAAGATAGTGGCTCCGCTCATGCAGTGCCTTGACTTTGACCCACTGGCAGTGAGGTTATGCTCCTTCAACAGGTCTAGGACCTTGCACAAGTCTTGCACATGGTCCCAGACGAAGCGCCTAATCCTTGGCATCACCTCCTGCTCATCCTTCTCCTTAGGCCCTTTCACGACCAGATCATCAATGTAGGGCTGCGTGATGTGAGGACTTATGGGCTGCATCACCCTTACCATATGCCTCTGGACCATGGAGACCGCATTCATCCAGCCTTGCGGCGCGACGTTCATGTGGATCAACCCTCAAGGGGTATGCATGGCCGTCATCGGCCTGTCCGAGGGGTACACAGGAAACTGATCATAGCCCGAATACAAGTCAATGAGTGATATAATGGCTCTCCCAGCGCATGTCTTTGAAAGCGCATCAGCGTTAGGGAGACCACCTGCGTCTCTCACTGTCACAGCGTTCAGGCGCTGTAAGTCCTGTACCCACCTCAAAGTTCCATTAGGTTTGACGAAACAAGACCACGGGGATGCATATGGTCCACTCGAGTAGTCTTCCATATGAGTGTGGATCTTCCCATCAAGGTAGCTAATTACCTTCTCTTCGTCAGCTGGATTCGGGTACCACGTACCTCGCAAGTTTCATGGCTCCTGAGCACGGTGTGTATCCTAATCATGGGGATAATATCCACGTCCAGTCGGCCCTTCTCATCATCACTGAAGGCATATGCTGCATGCCTTCCTCTTATGGCCTCCACCACAAGCTTTCCTCCCTGCGTCGTAAGGAAGCCAGACTCCCCTATAATCAGCGCTTTCTCTGTCTCGATTGATACGGCATGACCTATTCTCAGCGTCTTCTCGCATCTGCCGTATCAACTCTCGTTCCCGCTCGTAGTAGACTTCTTGCTTCTCAACAACGAGTACGGGAACAGGGCGACACTTCTGATCTACCCTTTTGTACCGCCTTTATGCACCTTGCTTGAGCCCACCCCTAAAAAAGGCCGAGTTGCGCTTTGGGGTTGTGCTCCACTTGCTCCACCTGTCTCCCCAGGTGTTCGATACACCAGTTTTATCTCGCCTGCACCCATCTGTTCTACCATCTTTTCTCTCAAGGCTTCCACAACCTCTGGGTCTACCATCCCATAGGTCGATACTGTGTCCATCGCATCACCTATGTTTGCCAAACTCAGAGTTAGTGCCTCCGGCTCTCTCCTCTCTTCAAACCTGCTACCCTCTATCCTCAACCTCTCCTCTTCCGATTCTTCAATCGTGAACGAACAGGGGTTGGGCCGGTTCCTTATGCTCCTAGGCCCTTTGTTCTTGCAAGTTATGACCTCGTAGTTTCCACATACAAAATTGCACAGGACAAGGAACATAGTTCCGTTGTGTTTGTTGAGGATGACCGTCTCCGTCCGGCTCAGGAACGACCTACCCAGCAAAATGGGGTGGTCAAGATCAGGCATCACGAAGAAACAAATTCTTACTTTCACCTTCCCAATCTCTAGAATCACAGATGACGCGGTCCCTATGAAAATCGACCGACTTTTCGCTCCCATTAAGACCCCATTGTCGGAGCGATCTACCTCCATCCCAAGACGCACAACATGTTCCTCCTTTATGAGGTTCATCTCCGCGCTGTCGGGGCAGATACCCTGACAAGGGTATTTGCCGGGCTTTTTCAACGTCACACGTTGTGTGACTCTTTCGTGGAATTGAAGAACGTGATGAGACAACCTTTGCCAAAAGTTTATTCAGACCTGACCTATGACTGACAGATAAAGAGTTTCGGACATTGGTCCGAACGCGTGTGGCGTCCAGGAGTAACGGAGGTAAATGGTAATGCTTCGTCTTGTCGAAGTCTCTGGTATGTGCGGATATGAGAAGGTAAAACTAGACCTATTCTACCTAAAATAATGTCGCGCGGTTGTTAAGCCGCGCGATTTAGGGCCTAAGGAGGCTAAAAACGTAGGATGCGCCGGGTATGGGGATGCGGCGCAGAAGGAATGGGGAGTTTTTGTTTGGCCGCGGAGCTTGACACCGAGCCAGGGGGTTGTTGGGCCAATGCCAGGGTCACGCGGCCTGCCAACGTGGTAAGGCCTGCCAGCGAGGCCTTCAAGGCCACTGGCGGTCAGGCGCGGTCTGCCGAGCCACACGCAGACATGGCCTACCGAGCCACAGACAGGTACGGCCTGCTAGGCATCGGAAGGGGGGCCTGTTGGGCACCAGAAGCCCTTCATATAGAAGGGCTGCTCCTTCCCTGATGTGAGAAGGAGCTAGCCTAATAGGTACCACCGCCATACTGTTGCCCTGCAGACAAAGGGATCGAATCTGATCAGCCATACTACCAGGCTAGCTCCTTTTGGAGCAGCCCGTTCATGAGGCAAGCGAGTGCGGCCGATTTCGACCGCATGATCATCAAGATCATGCGGCGGAAATCCGTCGCGCCGAAATGTGCATGGCCCCTGCGATTTCAAGGATGACACGCATCAATCGAGAAATGGTCCATTTTTTTATTTTTTTATTTTATTTTTTTTTTGTCTCTAAGAACTTGAACTCGGGTCTGTATCTCAAGGCTCGTGGGCTAGCCACGAGATGTAACTGTTGGCATAGGCCAATGGAGAAAAAAATAAAAAAACACAATGAAAAAAAAGAAAAAAAAACTAAACCAACTAAAAACAAAGCGCCAGTTGGCGCCCCCAGAAGTGACTGGGGCGTTTCAGCCCCAGTGCACCAAACAACGCCCTGAAAAACGGGCGACTATTCTCGCCATCAGGTAAGTTGTCTTTTATTTCGTTTTATTTAGATTTATTTAGATTTCCGCTTTTAGATTTTGTTTTAGATTCCTTTTTAGTTGAATTCTCTGTTTTATTAGATTTTTTTTTTTTTTCCTCTTATTCTTCTGTTCGTGGTCTTACTAGGAGTGCCCGTTCATCGAAACGAACAGGCTGACTTGCCATCCAAGGATGAGCAAGGATGAATCAATGTGCCACAGAAAGTGGTAACATTCGGGGGCTGGCCTCTGGGCCTTGGGGTATGTTACGAGGAACTCTCTGCACACGCTTTGGGGTAGTTTTCAGTCGCGACGAACGGTCGGGACTGTCGAATTTTCAGAGAGAGAGAGAGAGAGAGAGACCAGCTTACCTGCGCCCGTTGGATCTTGGAACGGGCTGCAGCGTTTGCCTGTGCGCCCGAACGTGGCGCTGAAAGCGTCCGGGTACTGGCGCGGGGAAATGGGGAAAAAAAAGGGCCTTTGAGACTTGACTCTAGTTCGGCTTTGTGAAATGACTTGAGGCAGAGGGGGCGACTGTTCGTTTTGGACAACGGGCTGCCCCACACAGACAAACCGGGGGGGTAAAAAGAAAGAGAAGAAAAAAAGAAAGGAAGAAGAAGAAAAGAAAATAACGGCCGCGAATGTGGCCGCGGCCGTGGAACAGGTGCAGTCCCTGGAAGCTTCTAGGGGCTGATGGGACATGGCCTGTTCAGTTGAAAATACAGGCCGAAAATGGCTTGGTACAGCCATTTGAGGACTGCGTCTGGCCGACGGTAACGGCCAGATGCATTGCCGGGGTCCAGAACTTGGTTCCCCTAGGGGAGCATCAAGTTTCCTGGCCCTCGATCGAGATTTTGATCAAGGGTCAGACCCTATTCCGGGATTTGGCTGGGGGCAAAGCAGGTGCCGTCAGCCTTCAGCCAACTATAAAAGCTAGCCTGCCACCCAGCAGCCTCACACTTGTGGCCATGCTGCTGGGGCATTCTACTTGAGTATATGCTGGCTGGCTGGTTGCCTGCTGGTGTAATGAGGCGAAGTGCTGGAGGTCTGCAAGAGCACTTGGAGGAAGGAGGAGGCAGCCATAGCTAGAGGCTGGGAGCTTCTTGCCGTACCTCTTGTGCTGTGCTGCAGGCTGTGGGGGAGCCATAGCCGCAAGGCAGCAGCTGGATTGGGCCGTGCGGCAACGAATTTTCTTGAGTAGGAGGTCGTGTCGCTGTCCCCTTGGGCGGAAGCGCCGCCGAAATTGTGCGGCGGGAGCGCTGGGTTTCCTGGCGGTACGGTGGAAGCGTTGCCGAAATTGTGCGGCGCCAGCACTGGTTTTCTTGGCGGTACGGCGGAAGCGCTGCCGAAATTGTGCGGCGGCAGCACTGGTTTTCTTGGCGGTACGGCGGAAGCGCTGCCAAAATTGTGCGGCAGCGAGGGCGCTGCCGAATTTTGTGGAGACAGCGTTTTGCACGGGGCTACGAGAAGGGGAATTGGACGTTGCCGAAGGGACGGCACCGCCGAGGTGGAAGTGCATCTTGAAACAGTGGGGGTGTCGTGCCGCTAGGATGTGGCGATCATCTCGTTAAGAGCGTTGCGGCATGCGGCACCTGCAGGACTTGTCAAGGCTGTTGTTATTTTTTTGCGGCACGTTGAATGGCCGGGGTCTAAGTCTGGGGCTGCCAAGTATTGCGGCAGGCGTGTGGTGGCCTGACTTGGTATTTGGCGGATTGAGGTGACGCTATATTTAGGAGGAAAAAGTCGTTGAGGCTGTGTGGGATTTGAGAGGGGGAACACTTTGTTCAAACGGCGAGCTCACTTCTAGATTGGTGAGCGGCGTCTAAGTCAGTGGTGGTACCT